TATTTGGCTCCATGTGAAGACGATCCTATGTGAAGTGCCGCCATTACATATGCCACACCTTGCAGTTTCTCGTACACATGCAAAATCTACCGCACATTACATCAGTTCGTCGTGCTATACTAAAAGGTCAATGCCACTTGCTCTCTACACACGCATACATAAATTAATAACTATTGTATGGATTCAGAATCACAAGGAAAACTTTTGGGACGCCTGAAATTAGACGCTAAAAGAAGCGCTGCAGTCTGTAGCTCTTCGGTAATTTTTAGTTCACTAATTGTGACTGCAAAAGTGGCGCGCGCGTAACACGACAGTGACACTGCAAATGTGCTGCTAACTATTGTATGAAAATTAGCAGTTGCGCGGCTGCATCGCCACTTTTGCGTGACTGCAGTGCTTCTATAAACGTCTAATTTGAAGGCGCCTATTATCGTATCATCTCCCTATTGCAGATTTATTCATTGAATACTTTAAAAAAAATAGTTATCGTTAGAAATTTGCAAAATTTACCTCTAAGAAGGCAGTTGGTATAAGTAATTGCATAAAGCGATAATAATTAAATTAAAAAAAAATATTAAGATTGTTTTTAAATTATAGATTTTTAAAATACAATGCTCATACATACTGTATTGTATTATTATTACTTATTCCAATTTGCATATTTTTAACAACATAATGTGTTTCGTTATAACGTTAGTAACAACAGTTTTATGGTAATTTATTATAGGATTATACATTGCAAAGCGATAAAAAGTAACTATTATCTATTCACTTATTATTTAAGAATTGTGATTTAGTATCGTAATAGTGAATACTAAGTATATGTTCCAAAAGGAGTCGTGTTATTTGAATACGTTTTTTTACTTGGTATTAGCACTGTTTATAATAATACAGTCAATCGTACAAACTAAACAGTAATGTCAGGTCAACAAGAGAGGGCCAATGTCTACCAAAGCGGAGAAATGCAAAGTTGGACTTGACATATCCAAAATAAGCCTACTCCACATCGTTTAAGTAGAAAATATTTCCACACTCAGGGCCACATAATTACTTCTTACTTCAAATCCTCCAATGAGAAATCACTTATTATGTCATAGAGTCGATATAATATATCTGACGTCCACTAACTAAAAATATTCTGTATTTATTGTAATAAAGATAATATTTCTAACAACGGGGGCTGTTCCATTCGGTGGTATGGGAAAAACAGCAAAACATCTAATTACAAAACAAACGGAATCACATTTCATCGGTGATTGAATATTATATATGTAATTTTTCAGTTTTCGTCCATTATAGCAAAGCTCAAGACAAACTAGTCGATTTGAAGTGAAACAATTGACGACACCCGTCAACTGTTTGGAATTCGGGCTGGCCAATCGGAGCGCAGTTGTCACAGTAATGATTTGGCAGAATAGTTTTCAAACAAATCAAATAACATTTCGTCTCTATTTCTGGTTATATACTCGATGGAGTGGGTCCACATTTTATGACATTGCAATACGAGACTCCGTGACATGTTACGAGTAATTGCTACGTGAAAGAGGACGGACAGTGACAATTTCAGGGACCGTGACATTTCAATGCACCAAGAACCCGTCACGTCTCACACTTGCTACGCTAAATGTGGATTTTTTATTATACCAAGTGACGGGACAAGGCGTGCGCCTGTTATTAAGCGACACCCCTGTCCATAGCAGTTGCAGTGCCACTCAGAGCTTTCAAGTGCAAAGACCTGAAAAACACTGCCACTGCGCGAGTTACCGTTTATATTAGTGTGTGCTTATATATAATTAGTAAATTTAAAATTCTAAACTTAGGTAAAGTTTATAGGAAATGTAACTATTTTTCTTTTTGACTTTTGAATGAGTCAACCGTGACCATGGGACCTGTACAGGGCCCAAAACGTTTGGTTTGTTTTTAACTGCCTCCGTGGCCGAACGGTTATCATGTCCGGACTGCCACGCAGAGATCTCAGGTTTGATTCCCGAGTCGGGAGAAATATTTGTATGGCCTACATTTATTTCTCTCGTGAGTTTGGGTGTAATTTGTGGTTGTCTTTGTGTGTGTCCATGGCACACACAAAGACAATGTGCGTTATTATTGTGTGTTTGAAAAAACAAATACACGCGATTTAAATCCGGAATAATAGTTTCGTTTCCTATGTATAACAAACCTAAGAACTCGTTAGGTAAAGTTTGTTTTGCAAATACAAAATGAACTTGTTTGTAAGTTCGTTTTATAAAACGCAGCCTAAGTCTTGACCTAGCAACGCAGCATACACGCTGCTGCCGTTAATCACATCACAGATAAGTTAGAGGATCTGCTTTGGAACCGAACTTCAATTATTTTAACCGTTAATGAACATCAAATATTGGAATGCTGTGAATGGGTTTCGAAATGTACACGATATCGATGCCTTACATTCTCAAACTCGTATCTTGTAAAGAGTGATTATTCAGGAGATAGCAAAACTTAATATTTATTTTCAATTTCTTATCAAGGGTGTTAATTTGGATGCATTACTTTGAGATTAGGTAAAAGCCAGTGTGTGAATATGAAGGAAATGTGAAATCAGTCTGCAAAATTTGTATATACCATCAATATTTTGCATTTCAGTAACTTTGTGATTTAAGATACGAATTTGAGAAAGTAAGGCGACGATATGACATTTAACTTTGAACATCAAGCTGACCTTTGGAGATCCTGTACACTGTCGGTATTCAAATAACTACATTTAGTATTACTGTCCTGATTGTAAAATAACAGTTTAAATTTACGACTTGTTATAAACTGCATTGTTAAAATGTGCGACTTTTTTTTACTATCCATGATATTTTTTGCCCTTGAAGTTGTTTTACTGCAATTATTAGTGTTTTAAAATTTGATGTGGCTGAAGTCCAAAGGAAAATTGCCATCGATACAGAGAATATTTGCTATGGGGTCAAAATCAGTTAATCCATAAACAATGTTCATGGAATTCATAATTCAACGTCCATTCAATCAGAACCGCTTTCCCAAAACTGTAAAACGGTCTTAAAATTATACAGCTTGGAGTATATTTTACAGTAAAAATAACCAACGAAGCCCTGTCCATAAAACGGTCATTCTAGTGTTCACTACCTAATTTCTGTGGCAATTTTTGTGACATAAATATTGAAGTATATTATCGTACAATTAATAAATAATATTTCACGATACAATACTCGAATATTAAATAATATTTTAGAATAAAAAAATCGAATATTTAAATAATAAAAATTGCCACAAAAGTTAGGTAGCGAACACTAGAACGACAATGACCGAGAGCATGTCTTTAAAATATAAAGCATTAATATCCAGTTGCACTAAACTTGCAAGTCTTAATTAAACCAATGCTTGTAATGCAAAACACTCTTAATACATTGTGTTAGTGCCTTATCATATTTCACCTGCTCATGGGGACCCCGAATAATGAATATCGGGGGGGTGGAAGGAGGGATAAAAAAACCCGTTCATGGACAGTAACAGCGTTTACTTTACAATTGAATATCAGAATATGATAATACGGGGTACTTACCCCATTTAGTTTACCACTTACTGCCTCTTCATAAAGATATACCAACAACAAATTTCATTCATTTAATTTACATTGAATATTTTATATTGAATCGATATAAGTGCTACGGCTCAAAGAAAACTAGTGACATTTTTGTGAGCTATTTAAATACTGTCCATGAACTGGTTAAGCGTACTTAAATATAGTGCAAATGGACATTAGACCACGATTCAATACTCCATTTTATTGCGAAGCGGTGCCTATATGGTGTCACGGTATGAACGATAACCCCCTCATCAGATGCACTGGATTGCAGCATAACAACCATTTTTACAATACCCATGAGAACTACAACAAAAGGAAAATATACAAAAGTACACACCAACTACATTTGCGGAAGGAATTCGATTGGCGTGGCGAACTTGAAATCTTCGGGGAAGAGTTTCGCCGCAAACGGGTACATGAGTTTGTACGACTGTCTGATCGTAACGTCAGCCACGCCAGCAATGTCTCCGATCTCTTTTTGGCTGCGTTTATCTTCTGACGCCTGCAAATGTGACATATAAGATGTAAAAATCACACATAGGTCGCCTCGGTGATCTAGTGGTTAACACTCCAGACCAGAGGTTCCCAAACTGTTTTGTTTTGCTTAGACCCCCTGCCTTTTAATATTGTTTACTTTTACAAATTCAACAACATGCTAGGGAGAAACTTTATAAAAACAAAAACTAATGTTAAGTTTTATACATTTATCAAACCAAACGTTTGTGTGAAAATTACTCCATAAGTAATTTATATGTCTATTATAAGAAAATATTATGTATTTACACAGGTACTAATCAGTGTATTGTGGATTATTCCATTTATGGAAAGCCAAAACTTTGGTCACTGTCTTCCAAAATGCGTTCTACACTCGTGGTTAACGTGTTATGCACACCTACATTTTTTTCCTTACGTGTACCCTTGTACGTTGAAATGGACCCCTAGGGGACAATATAGACCACTTTGGGAATCATCGCTCTAAACTCAAAGTTAAAAGGAATTCAAAGATGAATTCCGGGTAGCATTTAGGAAATGGACAACCTGAATGTGCTATTGTTTATTTAGTTTCTCTAGCACTCATAATACAGGATAATTCCAAAAATGCAATTAGAGCTAATAATTAACTTGAAGATGTAACTTGCCATTAACAAAAAAGTTAATGACACATCACAGCTCTGGTGAAATTTACAGAAAACAAGGTTAGAGTTATATATTTTTGTTTTTAGGACTTTCTTAGTACATCTTAGCTCTTAAATTTTATACTGTAATATTACGCCCTCTATGGAAAAGTGGAGGAATGCATGATGTGTCTTTGTATTTGTGTCAAAATTAAAATAAAATTAAATTAAAATGTGTTTCACCATAGGTGCGTATTTTGTAGTCAATATTATTTACATTTCGAAATATAATTTCATTTTCCTGTCTTCTTACCTGTGAGGCCATATAAATAGCGGCTGCTGCGACAGAAATAGGGCTCCGTCCGGACACAATATCCAGCTCGCCAGCCTTCCTCGCAATATGCGTCGCCGCGCGCTGCACCGAATTCGGCAGTCCCAGATTCGAGCAAAACCGAGACATGAAATCAGCTGTTGTAATCAGATCTACTGAAGTCTCCAATGCCTTGAGGATGAGTTTGAAACATCTGCCGATCTCTTTCTTGCTGATTTTGCTGACGGCGCAGATTTCCTTGAAAGTACGCGGTACGCCCTCTTGTCGGCACGCGATGTAGAGACAGGCGGACGCAATGGCATCGTTCGCTCTTCCTTTTAAGTTTTTGCCATCATGCACCTGGAAATTTAGACCCAATACTGACACTTCTAGTTACATAGATATATATACATTAAATCTACAAACATGTGGTAACCGTTAAATATGGTTACAGTAAATGATAAACAGGTAACAAAAGTAATTACCCACAATAGAAAGCAAACTAATAAAAAAAAACAAAATATATTTATATTTTCACATTACCCAAATTATTCTTTATTGCATTGTTTCTTATTATTACATAACATAACACTTTTAATCGAAAATTAATTATTTCCATCATCATAACACAGAGCAGTGACAGCAAAGAGGGAAAACAGTTGTTTCTTACTCAAGAGGTCGACGATTCAAATCCCTGTGGCGGCATGTATCCACTATTTAAAATTTTAAGTTACGCATATTTGTGAATATTTGTGAAATGCTAACAGTGAAGGAAAATATTGCAATAAACCCTGCACTGCGAAGAGGGTTCACAACCCTTGAAAGACGTATCCCCAACCCGCGTAGATCCAGAGTGGTACACTATAGCCTAACAGTGTTAACAATCATCACAATACAGAACATGGAATTCTAAATAAAAAAAATCTAATTATGCTTATATAACTTTTTTACTATATGAACAACGTGACCATACGTCCCGCTTTTAAGTTCCGCGTTCTGCTGTCCTCAAAATACTATAAATGCTTTGACAAAAAAGGACACACGTGACAATATTTTTTTTTAAATGACGCTAAAGCGAAAAATATATACCAGCACACCAGACTACACAAGATAGTACTTCTTCTGCTAGTTCTTTCTTAAAATTTTTGATCATTAAACATTCTTAGTTCTTTTTTTTATTTTCTTTAAATGGAGAACATTTCGTGATTATCACAAACACGCGTTTTTTTTTAAAAACAATAATTATAGGCATCCCGCTCTGAGGAAAAAATAATGGTCACCTTATTTATGAACTACATTATAATAATATTAACAATTAAACATACATTTTGGCCGTGGGGCGACGGCTTAAGAATACATTGTCGCCTCCCCATACATGCCCGTGGGGGTCGTAAGAGGCGACCGAGGGCGTCACAAGTGTCCATCTGCTTAGCATTGTGGTAGGCTCTGTGCCGACTGGATAGCGACCACAGTACACACGGCGGAAAACCCTCCACAGTGAAACGCTTTTGCGAATCGCGTTCAGGGATCAGTTGGTGTACATCCAGTGCATTTGGCCAGACTGGCAAAATGATAGTGACGGAGTGAAGATATTTGTGTTTTCCATCCGTTACTCTCATCTCTGGACTGTATTCGCACTTTCCATCAGGCGCGGTGCAGTCATTTTCAAAAAAAAAAAAAACTTAAGTACTCGAAACCGAGTGTGAATAATAGAGTAGTGTTTCTAACACAACATTTAAAAAACCTATATTGGTTTTGCATGTTAAAAAGGACAAAGCACAAGCTATGGGAGAAGAGCTGCAGAATTATGATGATTTAACCAGACAGTTTACATCATCTAGTATCAAAATCTACCAATTTCAAATATAATTATTTGTTGTACAAATCATAATCTTTGTTGCAACTTAGTTACATCTTTCCAACTGCTGCATAATTGAGTGTAATGATTTAATAAAAACATCTAATATTACCTGGAAAGTATCATTAGTCATATATACATAACTGCTATGTCAGAGAAGTAATATAATTGTAAGCATTAAGGCTGTCACAAATTCAAACTCATTATCAGTGCTGGTAAACATTTAGTTATTTATGCAATTACCCATAACTACTAGAGTAAAATATCAATTGCAATAAATATACTCCCGGACACATAACTCGAGCCACTTCGCATTTTTGTTGTAAAGGGCTAGAATACAAAAATGGTGTTATCGTCGAAGAAAAAGTTTTCCCCAGTTTTGCAAATCGAAACTCCTAACAAGGAGTTATGGACAAGAGGTTTAGTATTACTAGTTTCAAAATTGCGTTATATAATTTTGATCAATCAAACATAACTTTGACTTTTATGTGACATACCTTCTTAAAAAAAAAATTAAGATTTTTGCTTTCTAAATTTGATGACTGCAATAATTAATGAGAGTACCCCTATACAAGCCTCAAAAAGCACAAGAAATGGGAGTTAAATTATTCATTCATTCATTTTCAAATCCAATGCACATTTTTTCTCATTCCTACATAATTGTTTTTGTGGTGTAGATAATATTTGTTGGTATTTTTATCATTGAAATGTAGGTTGACATAGGAAGATAATAATGCAAATTTGTAGTATTGTTATATTTTTTCTACATATTTTGTAAAAAACATTATCTCAGGGGAATATGTATTCCAAATTAGCTAATAATAATGACTCAAATAATTCATGAAAAGTTGATTTCAATATAAATTATCCTCAGAAAGAAACCCAAAGAAGCTTTTTCAGCATTATTCAACAATGTCAATTACTTAGCTGAGAATAGTTTATTTTGATTGCAGTAAATTAAATATAAAAATTACCTGTTTAAACAAATTATTGGCTCTGTCCACAATTGTTTTCGGTAAATTTATGCGATCAGCCATTGTATTTATTTCTCTGAATGCATTAATCAGTGCCCGATCAGTACTGCTTATATTCCTCCTGTTCTGATACTTGGATACTCCAAAACTGTCAAATGATGCATCTCCTCGACCAGGACCAATGATTGTGGAAAGATCTCCACCTGATAGTAAAGGATTCTCCGGACCACCCACACGGGAAGGGTCAACACCAGACTTCTCATTACTGAATGTACGCCATTCAGAACCAACATCTATAACTCTGCAAAAGTAGAAGTATGATATACAGGCTTATTTGTAAAATAGTCCCGGGTTCAATTACCAGCCTAGACAATGTAGAAAAACTAACTTTTCTCTATTGTCTCAGGTCTGGATGCTTGTGGTACTGGTCATTCTTTCAGATTTCCATAAGACAAGTGCTTTAATAGTAACTTACTGTGTGATCAGAGCAAGGTGACATTGCCTAATATTTATTTTTTTATTTATTGTGTAGTGTTAGTACACAGTGCAAAATATGTAAACCCGTCATCTATTAAAGTGATGAGAAGAGCTGTTCTATTAGCCAATAATATTTGATTATTTTCACATTGCAAGTCATTGTTAAAAGAATTGAATATTATTGGTTGTTGAAACATAGCTCTCTTTTCTGCTCTACTTTATATAAGCATAGTCAATTTAAGATTTTCTGCTCTGAATAACTTTGTCTCCTTAGATTTCTTACCTATAATATTATAACGGAATATATATATAACATTTTACTTTCAAATATTGTAAACCTACGTGATGTAAATGCAATCAAACAATATGTTGTAATTTATTAAGAAAAATCTAGCCCACTTCAAACATTAGCATCCTTGCACAATTATCAACAATTAATTGACCTCGATTTATAGAAATCAGACACATCATGCGTGCGAAAACTTTGTTGCTGGTTGCAAGTTGCAACGGCCCTGGAAAGCTCAGCTTGGTAAATTGCAATTTCGCAAATATTACAAAATCGGTTGTTCATTGGTACCTGTCGCCAACCACGAGGCCGCATTCCGAACATATCATGTCCCCTGCCCGGTAGTCCTCGATGAGCGGCGCGTCAGGATGTGCATAGCACACCACTCTATTCGCCTCGACTCTAAAATCCCAAATGAAAGGAACATCAACAAGTAGAAATTGCCACCAATGGGGAAACAACGTTTGCGACACTTTCGTACACTCATTTCACCACCACCAAAAACTTACGTAAACTTTCATTGAATATAAATATTAGTCTCCTACTAAACATCCAATTAAATATTTCGATACGAGGTAAACAGGAATAAAAATAAATTAGAAAAACAGACCTCGACGTGCTCGCCATGATTGTCAAGTTCCATTAACAAAATTCGTAACTTTTTAATTGGATTTGACATTTGGTTTTGGCTTGGAGTATATGAAATTCGGCTAACGTCATAAATTATACAAATGTGTGACAGCATGGAATACAGAGCTAGAAAAAAATCAATAACAGTCAAATAGCTTTTAGTTGACTTTTGGCAATGCGCTAATAACTCGCATAAAATCGTCTCAACCGGTAACCTAGGATTTTACTGACTTTAGATTTGGCTATACCATAGACAACTTCCACACAAAAATCATTGTTTCTGACTTAATCCTCTAGATGGCGTTAGTAGTCCCTTTGCTTTTCATAATTATTTATTATTTCACTGCACCTTATGTCCAAGTTTCCAAAAGAAATTGTGGGAAATGACCAAGAGTTACTTTCATAACACTTTGATATCATATAATTTCACACACTGCGCACTGTAGATATATTGTCATCGTATTACGAATTATTTTACATAACTTACTGTTGTACACCTATCTATCTAAAACCTGAACAGTTGCTATAAGGAAGTAATTAGCACTTTGTCTACGATATAGGTGTATTGCAAATAAACAAATTAAGAAAGTATGTACTGTCAAGGCGGTGATAATATAAAGTCTTGTGGTTGGATATTGAAAATGTATTTTTGAATACAGTTGCTTGAGTCTTAAGAATAACGGTGAAACGCGCGTGAAGTGATAATTTCCGTCCAAATGAGTCTCTTTGCCACTCTCCCGCAAAAAGTAACCACTGTTTAAAATTATACAAGCGTAATCTATTTATTAAATTATTAGCAGTAGAACAGCTTGTAAAAAAGTTCATCCAGGGCAGTACTGCCACTTACCTATTCAGCCGCCATGCAACAATATGACCTTTACTGCGTTCCAGTTTTGAAGAGCAAGGGATAAGGGTGCTGGTGAAATTGCAGGCACATGAGACGTGCCCTAGGTCTCAGGGTCATAAAGGATGGAAAAAAAATAAAAGAGAGTGACGGGTACAGTGCCCTTGAGATCTTAGTGATTTACAGCTGCTCTATGTGGCTATCGCTACATCGCTCTTACCACTTGGCGCACGAAATGATCGTCATCAATTGGTATTGTAAAAAAAATCTGGCTAATGAAATAGGAGACAGAGAACAAAAAGATTTTTTTCTAGTCTTTTCAGAAGATAGTTTTTATATAATGCTAACATGTTATTGGGAACTTACCTACGCTGTAACATGGCTAGGCTGTAACTAAAAGTTACTAAAAATCTAAAAGTTTTTAAAGTTCTTCGGGCCATAATTAATGATCGATCGAGCCCTGTGACGTATCAATCACGTGTTGACGGCGCGCGTCAAGATTATTGCAAACTCGTGACGCTTATATCTTTCGTAATAAGTTTCTTCATTTTTATTTTATTTAACATTTTTAGGGAAATTAACAGCTGTTATATAAATAGTTACAATTATGTCGCTATTCTGTACAACACTCACTCGAATGAAGAAGTAATTACTTTCGCCAAACAAACATGAAGTATGCTAAACATGCTAAAAACATTATCTATTTCCGCCCAATAGGTATACTATTATTTGTAATTACTGAAATAATAACAATAAAATGACGATGTCACGATGGCGTCCTTACCTATTTAGATCACGATACCACGTACAGTTAATAACCTGTTCAGAAATCTATAGGTACGAATTTGAATTTGAATGTGTAGAATAGATTTGATATTATCAAAATATCAAAATATATAAAACACTGAATATGCGATCTCTACATCTATGTAGAGACCGTAGACCGTATGTAGATAGTAGATATTATTAACCTAAACCTAAAATGTTAAACTGATTTCCGGAAACGTCAAGCGAAAATAAAATTATTACCTAGCGACGACTTCAGTATAAAAGACAAGAGACAGACCACATAAATACAAGAATATTCACAGCAACTATAATGTTCCAAACAAAACTCTATCTATAGTCATAGTGTTTTGTTTTAGTGTTAAATTTTGTCAATAAGTATCAGTACGCAGTACCGTGGGGAGACGTGACAGTCTTTACCTATAGGGAACGAGTTAGGCAGGCAGACAATATTGACGTTACCAATTATATATATCCATAGTTGGGGAATTAACGTAAAACCCCTGGCAAAGTCGTAATTAATGCACTATACATTTCATTTTCCTTTGACCCAGGAGCCTTCGGCTTACTATTTATATTATTCTATATTATATTACTAAAAAGAAAAACAAATTAAGTAAAATAAAATACAGTCGAGTTGTTGAAAATATTGATGATTGCGGAAAGGCAATCTTTAGATCATGCAGCCTAGTCTTTTATTATATTTTTTAAATTTATATAATGGTAACCTTAGTAGGTAACTGTTATAATCTTAGAATAATAACGCATAGAATGATAGTTTCATATCAAACGAACTGTCACAAGTGAGGCAAAAATCAAATTCATGTAGGCTAGTTTTAGTAGTGGGATAATTTTCGGTTTTATTTATTTTAGTGAATATTTATATAATAATACAAGTTGAAACGCGTTACTTCCTTGTGGAATGTGATGTTAGTATCTATTTTATGTTTGTCTGACTTGTTTTTACACTCATTTACAGCACATTTCGTCATTTTTAGCTAAAATTCTGGAGCTGTTCGCGGTGCAAGTTGACCTTGAGCACTGAAGGCCCGCCCGCTCGTGTAGGCCCTTTTGGCGCGCTTCAATTTGCCTCACTTAGCGTGTGCGGACTAGGTTTCTATGCGTTATTATTCTAAGGTTATAATCATAATATTATACATACTCCGTTATTGTGTAGTCAGAACATTCTGTTGCTTATTGATCTGTTATTTATGTTTTGTCTTGTTTTAACACGCGTCATTACATACTTGTAAAACGAGATGATTAGTGAGAAATTTGTATAATATTTCGCAATTATCAAATATTATAATGCACAAATAAGTCAAAAACCACAACATTACTTACCGAATCAATGTGATTAATTTAAAACTTTAAATTTATGTTCACACAATTAGTCAAGTGCCGAATTGTGAGCAACACACCGATGTAAATTAATTTTCAAAGAGGACCGCAATTGAATGTTTGTTTCACTGATGTGCAGCGTCTTCACCGCACATCAGTGAAACAAAGCGTGTATGTGGAACGCCGCATTTAGTACGCTAGCATAGATATCGTTGTTACCTAGACTTATTATTACATGTATAGACTGCTATTATTAAATATACCTATAGACGTATTTTGTAAGTTCTATAAACGTGAATTCTTTTTAAGCTCTCTCACCTGCAACTGGATTTCACATTTAGTAGAGATGCCACGAATAGTGATTTGGCCGAATACCGAATATTCGGCCACGCTCTCAGCCGAAGCGCCGAATGTTCGGCGTAAGATCTGTGCATTTCACGAGCGACCTGTTACGTCCTGTCTCATTTACCTGCTTGCGGAGGTAACGGTTTGGGGTGTTTTTGTTGAAAAATGATAAAACGATAGAATCAATACATGACAATTTCTGGACCTCTTTTGAAAAAGTCGCTACAGATAATATGCAAAATGATGAGGATGTGGAGAAATTCTATTGCAAATAAGATTGCTTTTTATTGAAAACTGTTCGCCTGGATCGGACGGCAGATCCTTACAAGTGATGGTCAGCAAATGCAAAGCAGTATCCAAGCCTGTTATTGCCATTTATCTATCGCCTCCTGGCACGAGTGTTTATAATGAGAGGCTAGTTTCAAAAGCAGGAATTGTTTATGAGGAAAAGCGTAATCGTTTGTTACCAACTAATGCTGAAAAAATTGTTTTCATTCATCACAACCTACCACTGAGTGATTTTAAGTATTAAACCAATAATTTGTGATTAAAATACATGATACATTTTGAATGACATGTGCTTTTTTCATTATTTGATATTCGGTCGAATACTACGACTATTCGTCCGAATATCGAATATTAAAAAAGTGGCCGAATAGACCGGATACCGAATAGTAGTCGAACAGTCGTGGCATCTCTAAGCTTTGGCTAATTTTTATTAATAGCAAACGACATTCTGTATGTCACAATAGCATCGAAACAAGCCCATTGTTTTAATTTGACAGATTTCAAAATGCATTTGCAAAAACCATCGAACTTGTAATATAACTATGTAACACCGACAATCGTAATTGACTTGGCCAATAAAATCTGGTTTCCATTTAGTTACATTGATTCTTAATTATAACGCCAACAACTTAAGCTAGTGCGGAATAATCAATGGAATTTGAAGTACTGTAATTAGAATAAAACAATGGTACTATGGAATCTCATCTCCACCTTATGCATCGTCCATTTTGGTACAGTCTTTTGCCATCCTTCGGGTAGTTTTAGAATTCCTCTCATACAAAATCCTGTCTTTACTTGTCATTTCATGCTCTCTGCGTTATCAAAGTACACACATTCGAAGAATTTTGTAAAGATCGAATACAAGTAAAATTGTCAAGGGTCTATTTCGGGCGAAAACGGTGGATGAGGTAAGACATCCCAACCATTGCATATGCAATTCAATGCTGCCATTGCAATGGTTTTTGAAGGATTTGTAAAGACGTATTTTATCTTATTGAAATACTTGTAGGTATTCTTTATGGTTCTCCAGTAGTTCCGCTGAAAACTTTCCCGCCTATTCTTAGTATGCTCGTTAGAATCTTATTTAAAAAATGACCATAGACAATGTAACTTTAAAAAAATAATAAAGTTCTTATTTTAATGTGAGCTAGTGGAGAAACCGCACGGACTCAGCCGCTTTAGCCAACCCATTACTTAGTTAATTATTTGATTTTACAAATTTCTTATAATACCTCCTTCGCTGCTGACTGTTTATTATGATCTTGACGCATGTATACATCATCGCCTCGACAAATCGGAAGCTCAATTTCGGTTAGCGATCGGCTACATTAAAGGAGTCTTTTTACCAGTCAGACTTCGCCCATAAAATCTATTTCTGAAATTTCTCTTACAC